CTTGAGCAGTTTCCGCCTAAGCCGAAGAGGACTCCACATCCATCTCGTGGGGACTCTGGATACATGGCAGGGTAATAGAGACCCTGTGTGAGATTCAGAGGAGCTTGGCGACCTGATCCATCGCCCACCTCTTCCCGTCTTCGAGCGCAAATTTTATAAGATGTATCTCTGATTCCGATTTTGGTGGCGCGTTCACCCAGAGCATCCGGGGCTCTGTTCCGTGGATCCTAGCAAACTCCACGTGACCGTTCGTGTTGTCTGTGTCTGTAACCGCAACTCAAGCAAGTTTTCCAGCCTGCACCACTGCCATCTCGGTGTAAGTAAACAATCTTTAAAACTACCGCTAAGCGTTTGTGCCTAATTCCAGCTTGTCGCCCTCCCTCTCCGATCCAGCGTGCCCAGGCTGCTGGCCACAGCCCACGTGCAGCATGGAAAAGGGCTCGGGTCGCTCCCGGCCCACACAAGACTAACCTGCAAAGATTGAATCAATTTAGGTTCATGCTTTTTTAATGTTTCTACTTGGCCTCAGTGCTCACTAGTGTTACATGTATTCAGCACAAAATGACAGGTGTGCTCAACAATGCCACAGTCAGTGTTCTGTCCTGCTGTGTAGTTTCCCATTTTGTCTAGACATACAGTGTGGATAGCCAATTTATCATTAGTTTCTGAAACACCCTTGTATAGTTAAGTGTGTGCACATGTGTCCGTGTGTGTGCATGCATATGCACAGTTGTGTAAGTATAATGCAGTGGAAGGATTTTTTTTCTTTCTTCCCAGAATAACCCCCAAATTTGAAGCTACTTCTGTGTTTCAGGTTGGAGTGCTATGCTGAGAATTTTTTTCCTTTAATGGGGTACTTACTGTCCAATTAATTGACTTTTTTAATATGTATCATTGCCTTCAAATTTGAGCTTTCTGAATATCATCACTGGGGTAACTTGACCCCAGAACACTTATTCAGCATTGTATTCAAGAAAGGCAGGAAGCTTCAACTTCCAAGAGAGCTACTGGTGTTATCAAGAGAGGCCTAAAAAATTGAATTGCACAAATCAGTAGGGTAATTTCTAAATGCCTCAATAATTTCAATATCATTAAGTGTAATTTGATCATCTTCAGAGATTGCAGCTATAGAGGGAGATATGAATTCCACACTCATTCAGTAACATAGCCATTTCCTGCCTTTGTCTTTGAAATCCTATGAAAGATAAGCTTGAAATTTACAGAGCTTAGCTCAAATGGAAAATAATCAGGTAGAGATTCTAAAAGTCAGTCTGGGCCATCAGGGGTCTAACCCCTTTAAAAAGAGGAAGGAGAGTCTGTGTGTGAAGCTTGCTGTCATGATGAGGGGGCTATCAAGGCAGTAAAATATTATGTATTTTGGGGGAGGGGAAGGAAGAAGGATAATCCTCCCATGGCAGTTTTCACTCTGTGCCTATGTGTATGTCCAGTTTCTTCCATCCTTTAAATTAAGGATTTTTATAACCTGACATATTTGCTCAGTTCCTTTATCAATATAACACATAGTTTTACATCTTATGAATTGAAGTCATCTGGCCTCTTTCAGTAGCAGGCTGGTATTAAGATTCTCTCTGGTCACTTAGGCAATATACATTGCTGCTTCCCAGTTGGCTGTAGCATATGGAGCATGGCTAATTGGATTGATTGAGCAAAAATTCAATAATAGGCATAAAATGCATCCAGATATAAAAAATATTTATTATTGCCCTGAGTTTAACTACTTGCACTAGTAGTTTCCAAAGCTCCTCAAACCCCCAAACAGCATTTGAAATGCATGTATTCTGACCAAGCAATACTGAAGACCCAAAAGACTGCTATGGCAAAAGATAGCAAAGACTGCTATGGTGAAAGATAGAGCTAGTTAAATTGATGGAGCAAATGCTCGCATAAATATTAATAACTTATTTGAAAACAAAAAGAACTCTGGCTTCATACAACTACCAGTACTCCTCCGTGTGCTCTTTCAGGATTTTTGTGAACATAGAATATATTTTATGCACGTCTATGCTGGCAAAATATGTCATCGTCACATGGACGGTGATCACATGTTTCTCCAATACTGGATGTTTTTTGTTATGTTTTTAGGATACAAGTTTATTGAAAGACCAATGTAGATATATACATGACTGATTCCTAGATATAAAAATCTTCAACCATGCCCAGGAAGATGAGGTTGTACTTAAAAATTCAATTATCAAGGTGCACCCTGTTAAATGAAGACACGATTGGAAGAAGAGTTTTGGCCAGTTAGGCACTCATCAGCTTGTAGGGGTTTTATAGTATGCAGGTATGGCTGGAATGTTACAGTATTTGCAGAAAAAGAACACATCATCTAAGTCATTTGGGAGATCATTAATATATTTCCCCAGAAATATTAAAATAATTTTGAAAAAAAACCCTGAAATGCACTTACCCTGAATTCTTAGATATAAGAGCATTAAAAATACAGCAGTGAAAAGCAAGTACAGAATAGCACCCAGGAGTCATCTTGACTGTAGGGGGAGAACAAAGCATATATAAAAACAGCATAGCAAAATTTATCCTGCAAATTTACATGCCCAGGCATAAAAATTATGAATCCACCCTTTGATAAAACTTATTTATTTGTTTAATGTTTACAAAAAAGATAAAATCATTCAGCTCCTGTGGGATACTGCAGGGTTTTCTGTGAGAATTAAGTTGAACTGTAAAGCAATGTTGCCTTGAGCATGTAGTTGTTTCTGAATGAAAGTCAAGACTTTTTAGCAGCTCAAAAACATTATCTTATAGGTACCCAAAAATATGTTCAAGACAGAACACTCTACAAAATGGAATCTTATGTTTAAAATGAAGAGCGGCTAAACCCTGCAGTGAAAAATTGAGCAGTCATTTGAGAAACTGATTCTGTAGAAGTAAAGAATGATATGAAAATTTTGCAAGACCATTAAAATAGCAGGAATCCCTAATGAAAATATAGGAATTGAGATTTGTGGGTGGGTGGTGGGGGTAGGGGGTTCATCTTTCTAAGAAATTGAGGTGATAAATTTTGTGTAGCTGCCTTCATTAAATATCTTGAACATTGTAGAATTGAGGAAGGCAAATTTTATTTTATGTTATGTTAGCCTGCAGCAATTGTTCTGTCCCGAAGTTCTGAGCAATGCCATCCAAATACCTTACTTGTGGTGTGTACATATCCAGGTAAGCAGTTTTGGTCATTTTGTGCAGGAGTTACGTTTGAGGGAACAGAGTGGTGTTGTTGTTGTTGTTGTTTCTTTCTTTCATGATGACCATCTTGATTTTAAATGTGCTCATCATTAAACTCTGTGCATGTTTTGGGGGACTGGTGCAAAGAAAAAAATTCCCAGATGGAATAATGTTGGATCCCTTCTCCTTTTCGATTATGTGTATATCACCCTCCTTAGTCAAAAAATAAGCGGTGGAGCACAATAGTATATTGTGGAAGCCAATATAGTCTTTGGATTAAACAGACTTCAGAATTACCTCACCCTCCACAGAGAACACTATGTTCAACTTCCTGGAGGACAGGTCTAGCAACTGTTAACAACAGAGCCTGAGCTAGTTTCAGTTGCTGTGATTTGTGCACAAAAGGAGATGGTTGTTCCTGGGACGTCTATGCTACATTTGGAAGTATGACTACACCTGCCTAGTAGTAAAGGCATAAGCTCTACTAGGTCCATTATAGATTTACACAGGTGGCTAGTCTGAAGTGCATGCTACTGGGTATTCATTAGATTACTCTGTTATATTTACACCTGTAGACATACCCTGATGTAGCCAGCACCCAAATCCTGCAGGGTGTTAAAGATTTTAGGTGTAGATATAATCTTTTTCTGTTGAGCCCTGAGTTCCAGAAGTGGCTGTCAACATTCAGCACTAGTTGAAATATTCTAATTTGTTTTCAACAATAGGCCCATGTGGCGCTAACTAATTGTGGAGATCACAAAATCATCAATTACTGGATAATCTAAAGCCAAAGAGAAATTACAAATCATATATTAGCTTACAGTCAACTTCAAAGAGCCTTTTTAGCCCTTTTTGCTACTTGTGAACTCAGGATCCTGAAACACTCCAGCATATTCACCTCACTAATCAGTTTTTGCTGTTGCTTCTTAATAACATGGGCAGACCACATCAGCTATACTTTCCAAATCATTTCTCCTGTTTCTCTCCCAATTTGTCTAAAGTGCATTTCAGTCCATCTTAGGCAGGCAAAGTTTAGATCTGGATTCAGTAAAAGACCTAAAGCTTATTGCAATCTTGATAGCACTGTAGCCTACATGGTCTCACTGTCTGCCTTAGTGGTAATATGAATATTTGGAGCACAATGCAAGAGAGAATGGAATGAGAGAGGCCTTGGGGCAGATGAGCAATTGACAGAAAACACTCTTGAGATCATTTGGAGTGGAAGGATGGGACCACTGAACTGTGATTCCATCCATCATCTGCCAGAGACTATAGGTGAGCTGACAAAAAAAAAACTCTTGAAAGAGTCATAAGAAGGAGGTTGCTGAAAGTGTCATCACACAGAAGGAAGAGATTATTGACCAACAAAATAAGTGAACTCTGACCAGTATCAAAGACAAAATCCAGGTTTACAAGGAACTAAAGGATACCTGGTATGCTTTGCCTTATTTGCTTCTCATTCATCTTATTGAAAGATTTAAGGTTGATATTTATGATAAATACTTGGAGATTGTCATCATGAAAAGTTAACTGTGAATAAACTGAACAATCCATTATGCTGTAGAACTGGGCACCTAACTTTTAACTGTATTGTTTGGACTTTGCAGGTATTTTTAACTGTATTAGTTTTTGGTATTTTTATATATTGTTATGCACTATTGTTAGAAGACCTCTGTTTTTATCACCAATACAAAATGTGTGTAAGGGACATATTTGTTTTGTTTGGTAGAATCATAGTGCAGTATAACCAAACCTATATGTGCATCTTTGGCAAATAATATTTTAAATTGTTTATGCAGGTACAGAAGGCTTAGGGTTCAGTATCACTTCAAGAGATGTACCAATTGGTGGCTCAGCTCCAATTTATGTGAAGAACATCCTTCCCAGAGGTGCAGCCATTCAAGATGGGAGACTAAAGGCTGGAGACCGACTGATTGAGGTGATGAGACATTACATATTTTTTCAGAAAACCCTCTGTATTTTTTATATAGGTCAGTTGTCTTCATATTTTGGTAATGTTGTAGCCATAGTGTTGTACCTGTGAGAATGCATTGCATTTGAAACCTTGTCTAAGTCTATCCCAACTATTCAATTGATTCAATAAAAGATATCCCCCACACAAATGCTTTCTTTATCACAGGAAACTACTTGTATGATTTCTTTTTTTGTTAAAAATTGTATGCATACTTCATTTGTAATATGTTTAAAGATAAAAAAATAGATCCAGCCTAATTAACAGAGGGGAAATTTAAAACCCTGCACCAAATTTCTTTATACCACTGCAGTATCTTTGCTTCATTAATGATGAAAATAACTTTTACAATCTATTTGAATTTATATGAAACACACTTTAATTTTTCATACTATAACATTTTTTCGCTAGCCAAATGTTATAACATTGAGTTGCACCTGGAGAGCGATAATCAACAGAGTGAATCATCATGGTGCTCTGTGACCAGTGGTGTCCCCCAAGCCTCCCTCCTTGGACCTATATTCTTTAACATTTTTATTAACAATGTGGACATTGGTGTCAGAAGCAGACTGGCCAAGTTCGCTGATGACACCAAACTTTTGTGGTATAGCATCCACACCTGAGGGTAGGTTGGTGATCCAGGCTGACCTTGACAGGCTTAAAAAATGGGCGGATAGAAACCTGACGACATTCAATATGGAAAAGTGCTGCAAGGTACTCCACCTCGGGGGGGAAAATCCCCATATAACGCTTATAGGCTCAGCAGTGCTATGCTCACTGGACCATGGCCGAAAGGGACTTGGGGGTCATGATTGACCACAAGATGACCATGAGCCATCAATGCGATGTCACAACTGGTAAAGCGAACCAAACTTGAGATGCTTCTCAAGCAAATGTCAGGATGTCATCCTCCCGCTGTACTTGGCCTTGGTGATGCCGCAGCTGGAATACTGCATCCAATTCTGGGCTTCACAATTTAAAGAGGATGTGGAAAAGCTTGAGAGAGTCCAGAGAAGAGCCACGTGCATGGTCAGACAGCAAGAGAACAGGCCTTACGGTGAGAGGCAGAGAACCATGGGACTCTTCAGCCTGGAAACCACAGGCTCAGGGGTGACTTAGTGGCTGCCAAAAGTATATATATAAGGGGAGTACATCAAGATCTGGGGGAATGCCTGTTCACCTGAGCGCCCCAAGGGACGACAAAGTCAAACGGTCACAAACTCCTCCAAGATCGTTTTAGGCTGGACATAAGGAAAAACTGCTTTACAGTCCGAGCCCCCAAGGCCTGGAATAGACTCCTTCCAGAGGTGGTGCAAGCACCTATTCTGGACTCTTTTAAGAAACATTTGGATCTTGCTGGGATCCTTTGACCCTAGTTGACTTTCTACCCTTTGGGCAGGGGGCTGGACTCGATGATCTTCTGAGGTCCCTTCCAGCCCTAATGTCTATGAATGGCATTGCTTATATATTGAAGTAAAAAAAAAAAAAAATCTCCAAGTAGAATTTTTCTTAAATTTTGAAATAATTGATAATGAATCAAAGAGGTAGATTGTTACATATAAGCCTTGAGGATCTTAATTATCTCAGTGGCTTGCCATCTACTCACTGGTGGAAAGTAGGCAACTTTCCTCCATCCATTCCTTATCCATGCCCACACTTGTTCATACCAGATCTATGCCCTGTGGGGAAACAGAGGAGGTTTCTCATGAATAAGTAGAAGGCAAAAATGTAATTTTCCCACAGTTATTTGAAAATGGGGAGAAGGTGGGGTTGGAGTAGAATATTTTTTAATTAAATTATGCAAACTTCTAAGGCACAACTTTTAGTTCAAAATATTCTGGACAAACAACAACCCCTGTAAGGCCGTAGACAAAAGAAAGGAGGACATATTTTTTCCTGCTGTTTTGAAATAACCATGAACCTGGACCTTGTAAAGATGTAACTGGTCTTTGAATGCTGGGGAAGGGTTGTTTCTTCCCTTCGTCCTAAAAAAATTATAGAAGACAGACAGACAGGCAAAAGATAAGAGCATATTTTTCTCCTTTTTGAATAGGCATTTCAAAAAGATGTGTGGGCCTTGGTGACTGAGTTCCCTCCGGAAATGTTAGGGATGGGGTGATTTTTGCTTTGCAATAGGTTCTTGGAGGCTTGTAGTCTATTAGAGAACTTGGTGGTTGGTTTTCAGTGATTTTTCAGTGTGTAAGATTGCCTTCTTAATGACCAGATCTGGATCTAGGGAAGGGAGAATGGAAGGAAGGAGCTTCGAAGAAGGAAATGGAGAAATAGGGAATGATAACTATGTGATGAGTAACAGGAAACTAGGAGAGAGAGCTATTCAAAGCATATATGTGTTAGCAGTTCGGCTTCTTTACTGTCAATCCCTTCTGCTCCTGCATGAAGATTGGTAGTGCTTCAGTTCATTTTAAGCTGGAGGTTCACATTTTGTTGCTCGCAACACTGGAATTAACTTGTGCATTAACTACAGTGTCCTGTTATCAACAAGCAATCAGCTTAGTCAGCTTTTTTCTAATATTAGCTTATGTTTATCTATCATGTAACTCCATTAGACTCATTAATTTATCAGGTGATTAATTTTGGCCTGTTGTCTTTGTTTAGATTAATTACCACTTCCAGAATAAGATGGTCTTTCATTCTGTTTTTCAATCTTGTCACTTCTGCATTTTGCATCACCATATTTGCTGTTTTGTTTTCCTCCATTCAGGGAGATGTTTTATAACTGCTACTGTCAACTTGTATAACAACCATTTGGTAGGAAATGCCATATAAGAATTGTTGGTAATTTTGTCTGACTGCTACATTCATATAATTTAGCATTTCCAAAATGAATATAATATACACTTCTTTTTGAAAGGCCAAATGAAGGGCAAAAAAGATTTTTTTCCCCTAGTTATAGCAACATGGAGCGCGGACAAAACCTTATCTTCAGCTGACTTATCCTCTGGATGGATCTGTGATTTTGGAAGCGCTAAAGAGTCTCTAGGGCTCTAAAATTAGTGGGGAAGCAAAACTAGGAACAGCTAGGAGGAAGCAAAATTCCCCTGAGGGAGTTAGCTTGATTAGTGGAACCTCAAGACCATTAAACCCGAGAGACAATTGTTAATACATCTGAAGTGAAGAACAATGAGCCACTATATCAATTGACTCCCTCAGTTGCCTGAACAGTATTGCCACAGCTGCTGCACTGTAGAGCAGGAATCAAAGTAGAGTGCTTCTAGCCCTGTCAGGAAATCAGCTTCCCCAGTTAATACATGGATTGTAATTTGCAGGGAGGAAAAGGTGCATGCTGTATGTAAGCAAATACAGTATTAATGAACAAAAGATTTTTTTCTGCTCCACAGTAATCATCACTTTGCTTCATGTCTACTTTTTCTTTCTGTTTCTACCTTTCTATGGCTCCTTCCAAGGTTCTTGTAAATTGTTCTCCATTTCTTGTTTGTTTGGCTGTTTCTCAATTGCTTGTTACCCTCCTTTTATGAACCAAGCATCAAAATGAAATAGCAGGATGCTTTATCGGTTTCAGTTTGCTGTTTTATCAGCTAATGGTGAAGAAAAATGTGCATATGAGGAAAAGGTTAATGATTTTGCTTCGCTACTTAGTTCTGTAACCAGCAGTCCCATGTGAAACTAACAATATCATTTGTTTTGCTTACTCAGATGTTGTGTAGAGGACTAGTTAATGCAGGTAGGAAAGGCTCTTAGCACACGGAAGTGCCACATCGCTTTACAGCATTTGTCCCTCTGGCTGCTTACCATTATTATATAGGAACACTATACCCTCTAAACCTCTGAAATGTGTTGTATGTTTCCACTCTCCAACCTCTTACATATTTGTGGGAAGGGCTTTGTTCTCCAGATTTGGTGTGTGTTGTAGCAGCATTAAAATTATGCATCCTAGGGGTAGTTACAATAATCAAAACTCTTTAAAATTGAAAAATTCCTTTATTTGGGGAAAATGAGAGGAGATAACATATTTTTTCTTCAGGCTCTATTGTAGTTTAAAAAAAAAATTCTCAGTGGAAGAAGTTCAGAAGTGTAAAAGTAGATGTCTGATTCCCATTTGAAGTCAGTGGGAATTAAGCTGCTAACTCCTATCTGTGCCTTTGTAAACCACTCCTCAAATGTTTATGGGATGGAGAGATAATGTACAGAGATTTCCAAAGCTGCTATCCATGTTGTATCTGTTTTTTATTATAAAGAGTTCTGAGGTCTCCAGGGCTGTCACTGTGACACATTTCATGAGCATCTTTTCATTGATAGTCATAACGTATTGTTGGGAGCATGGACCAAGAAAAAAATACTGTTCCGCATTTTCCTCTACATTGGGTTAATTCTATTTCCACTAAAAAGATAAGCAAAATTCCCATTGCGTTGAACCCCCTTATGTTAGTTCCTTGTGAATTTGAAACAAGTTTTGCCTTCAAATGTATTGTGTGTGTTGTGACACGCGATAGTACTCTCTGCTACTGGACCCTTAGCAATTTCTAATATTTTATTTCTTATAGGTAAATGGGGTTGACTTAACAGGCAAAACCCAAGAGGAAGTTGTCTCCCTGCTGAGAAGCACCAAGATGGGAGGGACTGTGAGCCTTTTGATTTTTCGTCAGGAAGAAGCATTCCATCCAAGGGAACTGGTGCGTAAAATAGAGAGCAGCTAAGAGATTTTAGATGAAAATGAACAAATGATGTGGCTTTGATATCTGCTGGTAAATGTCTGTGGCTAGAACTGAACACAAGTCAATAAGTTGCCATTATTTTCTTGTCACTACGTTTGTATGAACATTTTTTTGAAGCTCTGGTGTTGGAATTAAACATTTATAATATGTGAGTAGTTGGTTTAAAATCAGATTATGGGGATTGTAATGTGTGACAGAAAATGCTTATTAGGAAAAGTTATTGGATGGACTTTGCTTTGATGCATGCAGATGACTTTATTATTTCATATCTTTCACACTCATGAGTCTGCGTTTGAAAGCTTGGCATTTGTCCCACTTCATGATCACAAAATTTTCAAAGCATTTAAATCCATACTGGAACAGTATGTATGAATGCTCTGGTATAAAAAGGAGGAATTTACAAGAAAAAGAGTTCTTATTTGAATATAAAAGCAATCCCTATATGGAATGAAACCCCACAATTATTCATTTACTTGGGTAATTGAGAGAGTGTTTTCTGAAAAATTGAAGCAAACTGACACAATCAAAGTTTATCACTATACCTGTTAATTTGCAAAGTGTATACAAATATTTCCCTGATTATTACCTAAGATGCTTTTTTGTAACAAAAGTTAAACCATGAATATAGCAGGTGCGTTTTATTCTGTATTCAGTTAATAGGCTGAATTTGTTTGTGTGAATATAGTTTTGTGTACCTCCTAAAATAAACTCTTTGGCTTCATTCTCTTGAAAAAGCAAAAGAAGAGAACATGTCATCTTCTCTCTTTGGCATGTAAACTGATTTGTTTAATTTCTAGTCAGTTTGTAGCATTTTGAATGCAAAAGTAATAGCTTCTTTTGACCATTTTAAAACATCTAACATCAGTCTTTGCACTGACTTTCTTTCAAAACAACATTTAAATCTATTAAATTATAGTGGCAGGGAAGGCTGTAAATGAACTGCATTTGTTAGCTTAATCCTCTTGGGATGTGACTTTAGGTACTGATATGTCATGGTTTATGAAAACTTTCCCTTAAAGAGTGGATGAAATTGAATGGTATGGAAATCACATCACATCCTTCTGAGTGGCTAGAAAGCAATCTGTTTATAAAGTCCTGTGATGTAATTTACACAGTATTAGTAACTTTGCAAAAGATGAATTGAAATGCCTTCAAGGTTTTTTAAATAAACTCTTAAAAGTAAGAACATTCCTTAATTCTTTTTATATTATTTTTATACTTGTTTTTGCAAGTTGCAATAAGTAATAATATATGGAGTAATTTATATAAAATTTCCTGTAAGCTGCTTCATTTCTTGTCAGATAGACTACCCTTAAAGAACTCTTTCACCTTGATATTAACCGCTTTAATTTCTGTTTTATTGCATATCTTCCAAATTAACAAACTGAACTGGCCCCTTTAAAATAGGTTTAACCTCAGCAGCCTCTTTGATACTGCTTCCTCTGTGCTGGGCAGAGGATAGTATAGGAGAGTTAGAGCTCAACATGTTCATTTAAAGCTGTAGATGGACAATCTTTTATTACCTATAGAATCAGAAGCCTAGAGCATCAACTGGTATAGTTCCAATGGAACAACAACAAATTACCACCGCTAAGGATCTGACAGCATGTGTGTTGGTTCCTGATTGTATCAAGATTTGCTAATTTATACCATGACATCAGCAGCTGCCAAGTTTGTTCTGCTGTCAGCAGTCATAGGGCATATCCAGCAAAAAAGAGCTGGGGAAGCTACAGAACTGAACCATGTCTAGAAAGGGTTGTTCTTCCTTCTGCTGATTCAGAAGTAATACAGAAAATTTGTTTTAATACAATTCAGCCTATCAAGGACTTTTATCACCTTTATCTATGCCAGATTTCTTATAGGGGGAAAAAATCTAGAACCATGCCTGTTCACCTTTAACATTACATATGATTATTTACATGTGATCCAATTGCTAACAGTTTGTCTTCTGTGTCCATCCTTCTTTCCTCCATATTTTCCCTATTGCTTTATTATTTCTTTTAAATTATAATTTTATGTACATTTAATGAGTGGTGTCTGCTGAGAATATGTATTGCTATGAATATCCTATGAACATTTATTTGACATCATCTTATATGCAGAATGTGTGATGGCATTTTTTTCTGACAGTCATTCAGTATAACAACTCTACATTTTGGTCACATCGGTATGGCTGGTTATTTCAATAATGAGTTTTTTCAGATTTGATTTTGTGGGAGTTAGGGATTCTGGGTTCTGCTTCCCTCTATGGCTTCTACATAGCCAATATGTGCCTCAGTTTCCTGTCCAAGTAAAATGAAAGTAATAAAACCGATTTTATTCACAGGAGAGTTCTGAGGCTTAATGTCTTTGGTTGGGAGGAACCATGGACGTGCATAGTATTATACACTTATGTAAAATGAAGGGAATGTTTAAGCAAAGGCTGTTTTGATTTACTGCAAGAGCTGCACAGGGTGTGTTAATACTTGTGTGTTTGAGAGAATAATAATCCAGTGCCAACAGTTTTGAAATCTAAGTTTGTGTTGATCAGGGCACACAGGTGACTAAAACACAGATATAGGGAAATAATTCAAAGTGTTAGGCTGAAACTCTAACCAGTGGTGATTATGGAAATAAACATCCTTCCTCCTTCGAAATATCAGGAATTGTACTGAGTCCAGTATTATGTTAAATGTCCTTGTGCATATAGCTAATGAATTGGAACTGGTCCTCTTCAGCCTAGCTCTCTTACTCTTCCTCTGCGAAGGAACAGCAATGCCTCTTGGGGTGCCTTGGTTTGTGAAGGTACTCGTTGGTCACTGTGCATGTGCTCTTGTTTGTCAGCCCATAGAGGACATGTTGTTACATTTTTCTGAGAAATTAACTCTTAGCTCAAGCTCTAGAACCTCCATGTCAGCCACAGACTAACAACGCTGTCCCTTTCCCCTCTCTTTTTCCCAGAAAGACAAATAGCTTCACTAGCCATATGTTGGATCCCTTACATTTATCACTGATAGCTGCTCCTTCAATATTTTATCTTCTTTGAATACTGGCTATAGTTTATACATAACTAAATGGTCACATGTTTACTTCCAAACTTTAAATTTCGAACTGTACTCCAGCCTACTATTGTAGGTTTTAACATACCTTTGTAGGCGGAGGGCTATGACAACAAGATGGTTGCTGGGCTGCACTTTGGTCTTTAATATAGGATATACAGGGGTTTGTAAGAGCTAATAAATTCTTTAGATACACCTCCCAAGCACAGCAATGGGAAGCAGAACAAGAAAATCAATTTACTCTCCCACTTGGATTAGGGTGAGGCATTTTCATTGTATATTAGTATTATTATTGTTAGGTTTTGGGGGTTATCTCTCTGCTATGCCACAAAATGGTCTCAGAGAAGCTAGTATAGCCAGCAGAGACTTATAAGTAAGAGGAATTACCTCCAGTATAAAGGCATGTGCATGCCTGCATTGGTTCTTGAGGCCAGGTAGTTGTCACCCTTCTGTGAAGGGAGTTTGATGCAGAGTTAATGGGGCCACAGTATAAGGTCAGGTACATTTGGCATAGGGTTATAACAGCTGCCTCCGTGCAACTCTCAATTTGTGCCAGTACATGGTAGCTCTGGATAAGAGAGAGCAATATACTCCCTACAATCCTCTCTCTCCACTTTATACCAGAATTTGAGCCCTTTGTATGTCCCTCTGTTAATAGATAGTGTGTGACTTACATAGCTGTGTTCTTATTTATTTTTTTTACTTCCTTTAGAATGCAGAGCAAAGCCAGTCACATATTCCAAAGGAAACGGTAAGAGCTTTGTCTTTTCCTTGTCAGAAGACTCCAAATTGTATTAAAATTGATATGGCACTTCTCCATTGAAGTTTGAGACCCTCCTTTCGCATTATATACTGTAGATGGCTCTCTCTAGCTTTACATTTTAAACCTATTTTTGTTATGCAGTTTTCAATTCTAGTTGATTTTTTTTTTCCCTTTCAAATACAGACAAAGGCTAACCAATATAATAGTAATTTAGATGGTTAGTTAGTTAGTTGTGTGTGTGTGTGTGTGTGTGTGTGTGTGTGTGTGTGTGTGTGTGTGTATATAAAAATAAAATCATGGTTATGCTATTTAAGTCTAAAGCTCAAACAAATAAGAGCCAGGAAGCTTAGTTAAGGCAGACTTAAGACATTGTTTGTTGTTGTTAGTTATTTTTAAGAATCTCTGATGTCATGTAAGGAAAGGAGTATCAGTTTCCTCTTGGAGGTTATAGCACATTTGGATTGAGATCCATTGGCAAGATTCTGTATGAAGACTTGTATATGCTCCAGAAGGGACATTCGAGTCTCCTGGTACAAAAGCTAACATGTATTAAGTTGTTAGTTTACTTTGAGACATAAAATCAATTTATGAATTATTATTATAGAACAATACAGTATATACATCTTCATGTGTACAGTATCTTGAATATTACTTACTATTTCAACAGAACTCATAATTTTACTATTAAACAAAGTAACAAATTAGCATGTGGAAAAATTTAGAATTTCAGGTAAGAAAAGAAAGATTCTGTTGGGATTTGAGAAAAGGTCAAGAGTTGGGTTTTTTTTAGAAAAGCTATTTCAGATGGCATGAGCACCTTACCAAGTAAGATTGTCTCAGGGCTAGGTGAGCTGATGGAAGGAAGGTGATGGATAGTTTTTAAAAGTTAAAGAGCACAGTTTTGAGTTGTAATCCCATTAACTATTAATCTAGTCAGCAGAGTTCCCGAAGGATAGAGGGTCAGTGTATTTTCAGGTGCATTGGAGAATTGGGCAGCAGCATATGTTGGAAACTAGAAGCATAGAATTTAACATAACTATAGAAATGGTAGTTGAAACCGTCAGTGAGAGAGGTGACAGGCATAGATGAGAATTTCAGCAGAGACCATCAGTGTAGCTAATGGTACCCATTGTGGTGATTTTGTAAAGTTCTTGATTTCTTTACTTAGTTATTTACATTTTTAGCCAAATAAATGTGGATGTGATGGTGATACAATAGGATATCAACTGTGTGAACTGCTTGGACAATAGCAAATTTGTTTCAGTATTTGGGAATTCATCTGACTGCAAAAAGATAGGTGGGTTGTTAGATAAAAGTTTTGGAAACTGGAAGTCATGCAATTGAGATCCTGCTGGTATAGCTTGTATTTCATCAAATATCCCTATAGTATTTTATAGTTGGTATTATTACATGAAAAAGTGAAACAACTACCACTAAATGTACCCATATGTATGCAACCACTTGACACAACCATTTTTGAAAGTAGGGGGGAATAAAATAGTCTCCAATTAATACTGTAGAGGAAATTTTTAAGTATGTATGTATGTGCCAAAATTGGAATTTGAGTGGGATGTATCAATATCCGCACTCACACATACAAAACAAAGCCATGGAATCTTTTAGACACAGTTTAAAGATCTGTGAAGGAAATCCTGCTCTGCCTAGCAGCTCTTGCTAGCAGTCTGGACAGTCTTCTTGGCTCTGTGCAAGAAGGAAGGCAAAATAGAAGCTGATGTTGGTTCCTTTTGGGTATGAGCCAACAGGCTTGTAAAACAAGGATTTATGCCAGAGACGCAAAGAATGGTTAGATGCTCCTGAATTCTTGACCCTAGCCAGAAGGAGCTCCTAAGGAAGCAAGCCTTCAAATCAGTATACAGGCCTAGGAGCTGGTAGTAAGTGAGCTGGCAGTCCAGGAGTGGAGCAGAAGGATTAGGTCAAAAGGTTAGTGTAGAACAACTTGACTCTTTCACCAGCCACTGGTTTGTGGCCGCTAGCTTTTTAAAAGCTATTCATTGCTTCCACAAGTAAGTAGCTATTTAAGAGCTCCTTGTTTCAGAGCAAGAGGGATAAAGAACTTCCTTGGGGCAATGGGTATAAGCATCTTTTTAAAAAATCCCATTCCTGGGTGGAAAGATCAACTGCAACCAAGAAGAGGGATTTGTTAATGCACATTTTTTCTTCACTGTCCTGGCTCCAACATGCCAGTTCTCCTTCTGCTGGAATAATTATGATACAACAATATTTCTACAAAGTTGATTTTTCTCTAGCTGCAAATCTGTAACACAGCCGCTAATTTTTTTAAAGGCTTTTTTTCTTTTGACACTCTCTCCCCAACTCTCCTTGGTTCTTCCTCATTACTTGCTCACTTTTCTTGCATCTAGTTATCAGGCCTTTCAGATTCCTTTTCTTACAGCTTCTACTTTTTGCACCCACCACTGGTGTTTAAGCTTCTAATTGTGAGTTTTTGACTTTGTGTCATGGAGTTGACAGTAGAAGGAAGAGGGCAAAATAGTAGGAATACAAAAAGTGAAGTTGTTGGAACTGCAAGCATGATAGATTCATAGATTGTAAGGCTTAAAGGGACCTTGTAAGATCATTGGGTCCAGCCCCCTGCACCAGGCAGGAAAGACAACTGAGGTCTGTTCCCAGTTGGTGACCCCAGCAAGGCGACTGTCCAGTCTCCTCTGGAAAATGTCTAGGGTAGGTGATTGCACCACCTCTGGAGGGAGCTTATTCCACAGTCTGGACATGCTAACTGTGAAGAAGCTTTTCCTAATGTTGAGCCTGCAGTGGTCTTCCAGGAGTTTATGACCGTTACTCCTGGTTTTCCCCAACGGTGCCCTGGTTAACAGTTGTTCACCGAGCCCTTGATGTACTCCCATGCTGCAGTGGTAAGCAGCTACCAAGTCCCCTCTCAGCCTTCTCTTTTTCAGGCTGAAGAGTCCCAGGTCCAGTTTTGTGTGCTGTACTTCAAGAAGGATATTGGTCGAGAGGGTCCAGAGGAGGGCCACTCATGTGGTTAGGGGCTTACAGGACAAGCCCTACGAGGAGAGACTGAGGGACCTGGACCTCTTCAGCCTCCACAAGAGAAGGCTGAGAGGTGATCTTGTGGCCACCTACAAATTCATTAGGGGAACTCAGCAAGGGATAGGAGATATTCTGTTCACCAGGGTGCCTCTTGGGGTAACAAGGAACAATGGTCACAAACTGACAGAGAGCAGATTTAGGCTAGATATCAGGAGAAACTTCTTCATGGTAAGGCTGGCCAAAATTTCGAATGGGCTTCCCAGGGAGGTGGTGCTGTCCCCTACCTTGGGGGGTCTTTAAGAGAAAGCTGGATAGGCATCTGGCTAGGGTCATCTGACCCCAGCCCTCTTTCCTGCCTAGGCAGGAGATCGGACTCGATAATCTGTTGAGGTCCCTTCTGACCTTAGCATCTATGAATAGGTCCCTCAGCCTATCCTCATATGGCTTGCCATGCAAGTCTCTGATTATATGGGTGGCTCTTCTTTGGACTCTTTCAAGCTTTACCTCCTTTTACATCCTTCTTCAAGTGTGGTGCCCAGAACTGGATGCAGTACTCCAGCAGCAGTCTTACAAATGCTGAATAGACAGAAGAATCACTTCCTTGGTTTTGCTTGAGATGCATTGATTGATGCATGCCAGAGTATTATTTGCCCTGCTGGTTATAGCATTGCATTGCCGGCTCATATTCATAGTGTGATCAATTACTATCCCCAGATCCCTTTGATGTGTGGTACTAGTCAGTTTGACGCCACCAAGCCTGTAGGTGTGTAGGGGATTATTTGTCCCCAGATGGAGCACTTTACATTTCACGATGTTGAACTTCATCTGGTTCCAATCCGCCCAACTTGCCAGCCTGTCTAGTTCTGCCTGTATCTGTAGCCTATCTTCATCCCCCATAACTTGTTTTCACCCGCAAACTTAGCCATTGAGCTCTTCACAACCACATCCAAATCATTTATAAAGATGTTGAAAAGCACTGGACCAAGCACTGACCCCTGAGGAATACCACTGGCCACTTCTCACCAGGATGATGCAGATCCATTATTTAGAACTCTCTCAGTCCTGTCCTGCAGTCAGCTTCCTACCCACCTAACTGTCTCACAATCCCACAATCCTCCAATTTTCTTGTGAGAACATTGTGGGATACCAAATCAAAGGGTTTTTGGAAGTCAAGGTATACAGTGTCAACCTCCTCTCTCTTATCCAGGTGGCGAGCTACATGATCATAAAAGGAGATGAGGTTGGTAAGACAAGACCTGCCTGCAATGAAGCCATGCTGGCTGTCATTCAGAATCTTACCTTCTGCAAGTCTATTGCACATAGGCTCCTTAATGAATTTTTCCAGGATTTGTCCTGGGGTAGAAGTTAGGCTAATTGGTCTATCCTTACCCGGGTCCTCCTTCCTCCCCTTCCTGAAAATGGGGACAACATTGGCCCTCTCCCAGTCCTCGGGGACCTCTCTGGAGTGCCACAAGCTTTGGAAGGGTTTTGCTGGGGTTCTGTGATCACTTCGGCCAGCTCCTTCAGCACTCTTGGATGAAGTTCATCCAGTTCTGCTGACTTATATATGTCTATTGTTTTTAGATAGGAGCAGACAGGTGAGGTATAAAAATCTGCTCTACTAGATCTTTAAAAAAATGTCATAATTGTTCATGGTGTATTTGTAAGGTACTTATTATTTTAAAAATTTAAATTTTAAAAAGTTGTTGACAGTCATGAGCCAGGAATAAAATTCATACATCAGTAACAAAAACATAAGGCCCAATTCACTGCTGCATTATTTCAGACTTAATTAACAAAACGTTGTTGGTTTTAGTGGAGTGGCTCAATAGCTGCAAAGAAAGGATAATTATAAATGGATCCATGTTTAAATGGCAGGAAGTTTTGAGTGGAATCTCACAGGGGTCTTTCATGTGCCCAGTGTTGTTCAACGTGTTTATTAATGATTTGAATGCTAGAAG